AACCATGAGCTGAAGAACTCTGGAAGCTAAAAAGATAAAAGGAAGAGACATGGAACATTTCTACCCTTAGCCCTCTTTCTCAAGAAGCCTATTATCAAGAATGAGGAGAAAATCTCATGCTCCCACGGTGAGGAAGTGACCCACTGGTGGCCTGGTCCTTGTATTCAGGATGGAGGAAGTGACTGTCCACAGGCTGAAAGGCAGGAAAGGGGTGGGGGGGGGGTGGGGACAGATATGCAGGACAACCTCCCTCCTCCCACCTCTAGAACGCCTCTGGATGCTGACCCTGGTTGACCTAGAAGCTGGGCCACCCACGCAGGTGGCTGGGCCAAACAGGCAACAGAAAATCTCCGGTGCTGGGACCAGGCAAAGGGGGCCAGAAGCTGCAGGGCGGTGTGAGGTGCCTGGGAGGGGGCTGCAGGCCCGGTTAGGCTGAGCCTGAAGCTGTACCGCCCACCCTGGGACAGCTCTTCTTTCCAGGGGTTTGGCCATATTCCTCTCCTGTCGTGTGGGGGGGACCCGGAACCCCAGGGACCTACCTTCACCAGAAAGAATGTTCCAATCTCTCCTTACCCCCAACCGGTGTCCTAATTCCCAAGGGAGCCCCCACTCCCTATTTCCTGCAAAGGGCACCAAGATACACGCGAGAAGCCTTGGGTCCCCTCGGGGAAGTCATACTCTCGTCCATATTCCACAGAAAACCCAGAACCTCGGGTAACTCTCCATCTCCTCATAATTGCCCCGAACCCTGAGGATCCCGCATCCCCCATATTCCACAAAATCTTCAGGCCAAGGGAAACCAAGCCCCTCAGCTTCCTTGGAAAGGGTTTTACTTTGCGGCTCCGGTGATCAGGTCTACAGACAAAGCGGGCCCCCGGGCCGGCCGACACCGCTCCCTCCCGGGGCCCTCCCTTGGCCGGACGCCGCCCCACGAGCCCGCCCCTCGCAGCCCTCGGGCTCCGGCCCCCAAGCCCCGAGTCCTACAGCCTCCGGGTCTTCGTGGGGGCTGTGCTCACTCCCCGGATCATCTTGCTAAGCAGCCGGACCCACGGAGGTCCACTCGGCCCGAACCCCCCGAGAGGCCAGAGGCTCCCCTCGGGCGCCGAGATAACGGCGGGGCAGGGCGGGGCAGCCCTTCCTTACCCGCCGGCGTGGCCATGGTCCCGGGGCGCGGAAGTCGGGAGCTCCCGCCGCCGCCTCAGGCGCAGCAGGACCTCAGCCCCGGGCGCCGGCGGGATGCGCCGCCTACGGCGCCCGGGGAGGGCCAAACCGCACCTGGCAGCGGGGCCCGCCCGCCGACGCCCCGCCCCCGGGCCCCGGGCCCGCCCCCTGGCTCTCTGCGGCCGCCCCGGCGCCCTCCGGTGCGAGAGGCTCCGTCCACGGGTGCCCGAGCTGGTGGGGCTGGTTCTGCGCAGGCAGGAGGTCTCGACACAGAGGGGTCTCCGCCCATTTTACAGATGGGGGAAGCTGAGGACCAGGGGCACGATTTCAACTACCTCGATGTGGCTCAGCTCGGTGGGCGTTACGCTGGGACGGGAACCCAGGTCTGACTTCCCGTGGAGAGCGCTTCCAACAGAGTGGAATCAAGAATATGAATATGGGAAAGCCAGAGCTCCACAAATAGCTTTGGAGGATGGGGGGCCGAGGGTTTTTAGACGCTTCCAGGAAGCCACTTCTCTGTGCCACACTGAGTAAGTTTACATTCAGTAATCCTTAGCTCAAAAATAATACGGAGGTGATGCAACCAGCATTCCAGGGTCAGATCCTCAGAGAGACAGAGTAGGTATATAAATGAACCCAGCACGCCAAATCTTCTAATTTTTCCAGACAAAACAAAAATCCAGGTGTTTAGGTGAAATTTTCACTTTTTAAAATGTTAACATTCAAAACTTCTAAAATTGCCATGTAGGCCAAAAGAAACACACTTATGGACTTAATTTGCCCTGTGTGTTCCTCTTTGTGAAGGAGAGAGCATGGACAAGGGGTTCAGACTGGTAGCTGGCAGCTGCTAGCTGGCTGAGGGGCCTTGGGAAGGGATTGGGGTCCTGAGTGTCAAAGGGTCGGCTGTATCTCCTGGTCCCTAGGCCCCTCCCATCCGATTCTCTTTGTGCTGGGTCTTTGGCAACTGTCATTTCCTTAGATTAGATTTAGGTCATGGGAAGTGTCTGACCAGGAAGGGATAAGGATGGAGTCCAAGGAAATAGATCATGACGCCCGCCCCCTGCCCCCAACCAAGGACAAAGTTCAACCCAGCTGCCTCTGGTTCCAGCACTTGAGTAAGCAAAGGTGAGCACAGTTCCCTTCCTTGTCCTGATATAGTCCAAACCGGATGCAGGTCAGATTTTTCTCTCCTGGGTGTGCCAGGTGGCTCCTGCTGTTCCGCAGGTGGAGAAAATACTGAGAGGGGCAAGGGGGCGATGTGCCCAACTTCCGGTAATTCCTGGGAAACCTCTTCAGCAGCTGGCTTTACAGGGGCTGAGGAAATCTGTGCTCTGTTTATAGTCACCACAAGATTGTGTATTGAATTAAAGTGACAGAAAACCGCTTTTAATTCCGCCTGACAAGCCACCTCATGGCTAGCAAAAAGGGAGCTGGGATTTTATTCACTGTGCACTTGGAAAGAGGTTACACTGTATTTTCCCAGACATGTAGGCACTGGCAGCCTTGGAACCAAGACCCCTGGGTGTCTTCCCTCTCCCTCTGCCCCTCTTTTCTCACTCTTTTCCATTCCATCTTTCCATCCTCCGGCCTCAAGGTCTTCACTAGCAGGAGGTGTCATGGGATAACCAACTCCCCCAGGTTCCTCAGAGGGAAGTTTAGGTAACTGAGAAATGCCAAGATGAAATGTAGAGAATAGCACCCCCTATTGACATACCAAGAGTTATGTTTCCAACATGGACCCAAAGAACATTCCCAAATCACTTGTGAACTCGAGGGGGACTTGAGGGCAGAAAAAGCCTGGGCAGGTAGACCTACTGGGTTTCTAGCACTCAAGTCACCTGTCCACAATTTGATTACCTGACCTTTGCTTGGTCAGTCCTTAAGACCAGATGTTGCTGCCTCACATTCAACTCTCTGGGCCTATAGAAATGAGGTGGACACCGAAAGCCCCCTTAAGGTTCAGGTTCTGCCGTCCTGAGGGAACCGGTCCAGTGGTCGCCAGACAGACCTCAATGTCCTTTCACTTGCTTCAAAATGGGCGTTTGGCCTCTCTCCTCCCTGAATTGTCCCTCCTAAAATGAACTGATTAATCTTCCAAAATTGTTTCTGTCACTTCTCTGCTCAAAAACCTTCCATAGCTCCCTAATGCCAACAAATAAAAGACCAAACCAGGCTTTCATGAGTTACCTACATCTCACCCTGCAACCTTCTCACCCTACTCCCTTCACTCTAGGACTCTGCTTTTTCCTGAACACATTCTACTCTTGTTCCACTCTGCCATTCCTGCAACCACCAGCCATCCGCCCTGTGTTCTCTGTGATTTTGTTGCCCCATTCTAAACTCTTAACACATTACTTCCAGATACCATGTTGCAAACCCTATAGGCTAAATTTGCACTGCCCAGTCAGTATGTGGGCTGCACAGCTCCACATGTGGCTATTTAAAATGAAATAGAACTGAAAATTCAGTTCCTCAGTCCACTAGCCACATTTCATGTGCTTGATAGACACATGTGGCTTGTGACTACTGCCTTGGACAGTGCAGATAGAGAACATTATCACTGCAGAAGATCTTATTGAATAGTGCTATTTTGAACAACGACCAGTAAAGGCTGATATCATGACAAAGAGGGACCACCAGACATTATCTGCTCTTGATAAGATGCAAGAAGTATGCACTTCCACATATGATGTATTCTCATAAAAAAAAATCTAGCCTGAACCTGTCTAACCTCTAAATCTACCAATTTACAGGACATACAAGAGTAAGAGGAGCTTGTTAACATCACAGTGATGCAAACAGCAAAACTGAAGCAGTGGGAAACTTGACAGGACAAATTAGCTGGTTTCTTTAAAAAAGAGATGGAAGAGGAACCAATAGATGAACAGAGACTTAACAGACATCTGATAACAATGTATGGATCTGATTTGCATCTCAACAAACTATACAAAGACTGTGACAACTAGGAAAATTTGAGCAACGACTGGATATATGAGAAATTACTGTTAACCTTTTAAGGTATATAAAAACAGTATGTCAGTTGCATTTTTAAAACCCCTTGTAGTTGAGATGTGTATTGAAATACTTAATAAAATAAAATATGACTAGGATTTGAAGCAGCTTGAGGACAGGGACAAAACAGGACTGAACCCTAGCTGATGGTTATCGGGGTTGGACTATTGGTACATGGAAGTTTATTGTCCTACTCTTTTGGTGTATGTTCTTTTCCTAGTGGGCTTCTGAGTTCCTAGAATTCCCTTATCTTTGCATTTCCTGCCATGTCTTGGTGCTATTCAACTTGGTACCTGTTAAGTCAGTTACACTGTAAGAGGGAGCTCCTTTTCTATAGCTCTGGAATGCTGGGGAGGCTGCTGCTGGGCCAGGTGTGTAATCTCACCATCCTTCATTTCACATTCTGCTCCTGAGGAACCTTGGTGCAGTACAGCCCTGCTCCGAGTAGAGGGCTTGGCCAGGGGCCCACCTGCCCTGTCGTGGAACATGTGGAGATGTAGACATTGAAAAACTTGTAATTGTCCTCAAGGCTCTCATTGGCCATAAGCTAAGCTCCATTGCAGAAGCTTGCGAGCTTAGGAATTCCATGCACTTGTCAGGACCTATCAGACAGGTCACACCTTAGGTAGGGCTGTGTATGAATGAAGCCAGGCCTCCAGCCTACACTTCTCACCTCTAATTATCAATCACTGTCTGAGGACTTTCATCCTCAGTGTTACATTCCCAAGGATGCACAGGTGCTTCCCAGAGGTTATACCAGTGTGATACTTCCCAACCCACTCAATCCCCCACCCACAAGGCACAGACATGAAGGCCACAGCTCACAGTAATGTAAAACCATTTTTTTAATTCTAAATCAAATCACTTTCACAACAGTGAAAATTAGTGACTGGTCAAGGTGTGCCACATACACAGTGTCATTTTCTGACTGTGGTGGGATCTGGATCTAGTCCACAAAGGTGGCAGGAGTGGGGTGGAGGCCAAGAACATAGAAAACCCACATAAAAGAAAGGAAAACTGCCTTGGTAGAGGGGCAAGATGGTTAGCCTGCAGAGGGGTGGTAGGAAGGGGACTCCTTGTCGGGGCTGGGCCAGCAGTCCCAAGTCAGCTCTCTGCCCCAGCTCCTGGTAGAGGGTGAGTGGGGGCCTGTAAGGTTCAAAATCAATGGGCACATAGCCAACCTGGCTTTGTTAAAAGGTTCCTGGAAGGAGCTTTGCTGGTGGAGCTCTCCTGGCCCACTTCATTTTGTTAGAGTCCAAGTGGGATCATTTTCCTAATCCATAACCTTTTTACTGGAAACCTATTTCCAGTGGGCCCATTTACTGAAGTCCTCTCTCTCACCACTAGGTGGAGCACTGCAATGAGATATCCCATCAATCCTCTCCAACTGAGAAACTCCAGGGGCCCCTCCAACTTTGGGGATTCCAGGTGTTAAAAAAAAGCACTCTTGAGTGCGTGCCCCAAGAATGTTTAAAATGCATCAGTGACACTAAAGCTGGTGGCTTATTCCTACCAAGTGGATTCGGCAAATGACCACCTATTCAATACTTATATTTTTCTGTTTAAACACTGAACTCTGGCATTGACAGGTTCTAAGAGAAAGGGGTGGGGGCTGCAGAGAGGGGAGGAGGGCTTCCCTCATATTCCTCAAGGTCTTGGTTTCCGCACACTGCGCAGAGCCATATCTGTAAAAGAGCCCTAGGTGGCGCTTTCTACCACTTGCTTATTGCTTGGGATGAGGGATGAGCCAGGAGCAGTGGTGGGCTGGTGAAGAGAGGCCCCTAGAAGAAGCCCGTCTCCTTTCACTCTTTGGGTCTCCTGGAAGCAGGTGGATTTCTAGGAAGCGGTCTGACTGGCAGGACAAGAACCATTCCCTAAGTGAACTGTCCTGCTGCCTGGCACCATACTCGCTCCATGAGATTTGTATGAAAACGCTTGCAAAGTTGAAAAACATGTAGGGCTTGGGAAGAATGATTTTCCTTGGAAATCTGCTGGGGAAGACTTCCACAGGGAGAGCACATCACATCGAGGCTTCCGAGGCTGTGGTGCCTGGCTTCACAAATTATCAGGCATTGCCTGCTCCAGAGTTGCATGCTTCCCTGGTTTTAGCACACATACGAGAAGTTTTCAGGGGAATCCATCCAGCCATACCAAAATCAGGGTCACATGTGGGTCTCCCCACTCCCTGCCACTTCATAAAGGGTAATTTGGCTTCCGAGGTGGGTAGTCTTCAACATGCAATCAGGCTGCCTTGACAAAGCCCCTGGTCACCTCTGGGCGGGTCTGGGAGGGGATGCCCCAGAGTTTTTGCAGCCTTGGGGACAGGGCTGACTGGGTGTTCCTGCATCAGTACTCCAGATCCCACTGGGGTCCCAACTGCAGGTCTTTCCCGGTACACAGAAGTCAGTTCCAGCTTCAGCAGTAGCATAGGCTATGTGCCCTCTGGCAGAGAGGCAGATGCACACAGTTTTGGGGGAAAAGATGGGAAATCTGTTGAATGAGGCCACATCTCTGGGGATAGCCTACTTGAGGAAACCAGGAGGTCATTCAAGCCACTCTCTGCAGCCAAAGACACTGAGCATGGCCCAGAGCCAATAAAAGATCTTTGGGTCTCTGGTGAATTCATGAAGCAATTACAGCTTCAGCTGCTGCAATTATGGTCTTCATAGGACAGCAATTTCTTGCATTTCTGCTGAGGGGAGAGGAAACTGGGCAGAGCAGCACTGGATGTGGAAGGAGACCCTGTCTAAGGAGCCCCACTGATTTCAGAGGCCACTCACCAAAGCGTATGTAAGGAGATGACAGTTTCCGTAAGTACCATTTGGTTCATCCCTTTGTTTTTGTAGTATTAAACTCAGATGAAATTGTACTGAGTTTCTCTCTTCCTGCCTCTTCCCGGTACAGACCCAGGACCTGCTGAGCTGGGACAGGATTTCATGGTGTAACCCATGGGAGATGACTCAATGCCAAGAACTGAGGTTACAGCAGGGCATGTACAGCAGAGGCCACTCCAGGCTCTTTGACAACTGGTCTCAAGTCCCAAAGCTTCGATGGAGAAGCAGGACTCCTTGATGTGTTACTGACCCCAGTGATTCCAGGGGTCAGGATTAGCCAGGAAGCCGAACATCAAGAGTGGGGGTGGTGTACCATCAGTGCGGAAGCCCTGCCATGGACGCAGGCCAGGAGTCCTGCATTAGGCAATCAGGAGCCAGAACATGATCACCAGGGCCACAAACAGGAAGAGGCGTGACAGGAACTGTTCGTCCACATACTGGGGCGTTCCAGGGACAGCTGGAGAGACAAGAGAGAAGACAGGCTGTCGGAATGCTGCAGCTGTGCATACTGCCCATGTGGGCCAGAAATTGAAAGCATTTATCTTCATCTTCTTAGAACAGAATCCTGCACACTAAGATTTCCAAACCCCAAATAACATCAGGCAAAATGAAATTGAAATTATGAAAATAAGTGAACTAACATAATAATGAGGACTGGGTCTCCAATTTATCCTAACAGGGTTTGGCATGCAGGTACAAACAGAACAGGAAACAGAGGAAATAATAAATTAAATAAAAGCTACTGTTCGTTAAGCACTTTCTGTGTGCTAAGTGTTCTGTACACACATTATTGCTTGGTGGGTATTATTCCCACTCTGTGTAAGAAGAAACTGAAGCACAGGTCTGAGGCGACCTGCTTGCCCAAAATGACAAGGCTCATGAGTTAGTGGCAGAGCCCCACAGTTGTGCTCTCAGCCTCTCTGCGCACAGCCTCCCAAGTCATGGAATCTAGATTCCAGCACTATGAGCCAGGAGGGGTCTGAGAGAGCCCTGCATCGAGAGGAGAGAACTGGTGCCAAGACAGGCACAATGACTTGTGTCCCCATCACACAGCAAACTGTGGGCAGAACTGGGCCTCCTCTCCTCTCTGCTTTGAGAAGAGGGACTATGAAGAGCTCTCTATCTGACTTTGGCGTAAGGAAAATAAGAGAACCTACATCTGGGATGAGCCAAGTAGTACCAAGCCTGAGAAGGGGACACTGTGACTGTGGCATGAGGATAAAGCGATCCACCGTCCAGCCTGGCTATGGAACCCTGTTTACCTGGGGACCCACGGTGAGCCCTGGACCACTGTGGAGTTACCTCCACGGGGCCCTGTCCTCCTTCAGAGCAGAGCAGGCCCTGCCCTGTGGGATCTCCTTCCTCTAAGAATACATGGTAACAGTGGAGAAACCTTGAGGCAGATGAGGCAAGGAGAGCATTCCTAAGATCTCTTGGTCCTGTGCTACTCCCCACTTTGTGCCCTGAGAAATTCACGCAGGCAGGCAATTAAACAAAGACTTATCGATCGCCTGCTATGTGCCAAGCACATGGGGTGGGGGTAGGGACAACTGGGATGACCCTGGCGTAGACTTCTGTTCCTAGAGCATAAGGTCCTGACCAGGAACCATGCATTGTACTCCACATTGGGCCCAGCACACATGAGGCTCCAGTGAATGCAAGCAGAGCTCAACTGACCTTGGCACCTTGGCAGACTCCGTGGTAAGGACCTTGGCCTGGGTGCCACATTGCGATAATGTACAAGGCACCCGCCTTACTCCTCTGCTCTACACTGAATGAAGCTGACACCCTCAAGCTGGCTGGAGAAAGGCAGCAGCAGGTGGCAGACCCAGGTGGGATTCCCAAAGGGCTGGGGTTTGGCATCAGCCCCACGTGTGTCCTGAGGGAAGCTAGCTAGATATGCCAGAGAATGGAGAGGCCCTAATTCCTGGTAGGCTGCCTGGCCCCTATGTGCCCCCAAAGTGGTCAAGTGGGGGGTACATGTGCAAGACGAGGCTTTTCCTCAGTTGGGCATCATTTATACTTCTGCCGAATTCCAAGGTGCCTTCAAGCAGGACTACCAGGGAACTAGGGTCTTACCTGGAGGAGGACGCCCATCATTTATGTTGAATGCTGTGGCAAATATCCCAAAGGGAAATGCCCCAATTCCAAAAGACATCTGGAAGCCACCATCTCCAAATCCAAATCCTTGAAATCCCTATGTGGAAGAAATGCAATTAAGATGACGACCAAGCAGATTTCTCCTGCACCTGTCAAACACATCACCTTACATGTGGCACCTGCCCCTCCTTCTCACCCTGTGCCACCTGTTTCCATTGGAAAACATTTCTTCTTCCTGCCCAGACCCCAAGGCAGAGGAACCCTGGTGGCCCCTCTGCCCTTCCAGTTTTCAAGGAGCTGTGAATGACAGAAAGGACTGACTCTGACCCAAAGTAAAACACTGCTGACACAAGTCAGGATTCTGAAGAGCTCCCGGTTCTTTCCCAGAGTCCCACACTAGCCAGTAAAATTTTCTACATGATTTTAATAGCAAAATTGGCAATAACCCCTATGCCCAATTATAAGGGAATGTCAGAACAAACTATACATTATCAGTAATAGCAAAAAACTGGAACCCTAATTAACCAACAATGAAGGTCATGATCAAAATCTTGATACATGCTCTCAAAGGACCATTACACTGACTATATAGCAAAACAGAAAAACTCTTGTGACAAAATTATCACACAAAACTGAACACTATGATCACAAGTACGACAATATGTAGATACGTAGACAAGATATAGATAACTACTTTTCCTCAAAATTTTAACATTTTACAAAAAATTTTTAAAACTTTCAAACACCTTAGTTTTTTTTCTGATTACAGAAGTAATTGTAAGAAATTAACACATTATAGGAATAATTGCTTAGTCGCCCTCCATTTCACAGCCCCTCCCCGACAATAACCACTGTCAGCAGTTTGGTGTATCATCTCAGCTTTTCCGCCTGAACACATTCTACACTGCATCATCTTTCACATGAAAAGATTCAGTAGGAATCATAATATTGTAAATATGTAACTCCCATTTTCTAAGTGCTAACTCTGTGCTAGGCACTGAGTTAAAATACCTGAATTGCATTTACTTCTTACTTCAGCACCACCCACATTTTAGATGATCAAACTGAGGTTCAGAGAGGTGAAATAACTTGACCAAGGTCACACACAGTTGATAAAAGGTAGAGTTTGACTCTAAAACTAGATCAATATGAGCCTAAAACCTATACTCTTAATTGTGCACATTTTACTAAAAATATTTCTACTCCTCTGCATCCCCAGGTAGATCTTTAGAATAAATGATTTAAAAATATGAGAAGAAAAATTATTGGGGGAACTGCTTCCACAAAGAGCTGACTGGCCTTCATTTGTCAGTCATTTGCAAGTCACAGAAGTGTGGGCTCCCCTATACCATACTGAGCAGCCTGGCATCTAGCACTATACTTCCTGCTGGGCAGCACTACCTATAAAAGCCTAACAGCTGATTTAATAAGAGGACAAACCTACAGGGAGGAAAACAACTAGTTTTCATCTCCTCAGTGCAGAAATGCCTCCTACTCAGATGCAGCACGGTTCAATCTGAGGGCTCTTGGGACTGAGGCTGCCTTACCCAGGAAGGTGCAATTGTTTCATCAGGAACCACCACTTCGTTCAGTGCAATCCTGAGGACTGACCCTCTGGTCTGCCTTCTAGCAACATCTATTCCATCCCCTAAATTCTCACATTTTGTGGGTTTATTTTCTTGGGACAGAATATGCAAAAAGCATCACTGGCAGCTATAGGTGCTTGTAACTGTAAGAGGTATGTACCGCAGCCACTGAAGCCAGGGCCTCTGGCTTCCTGGGGCTTCTGATTCCTGGGTTCGGAGCTAATGCTCTGTTGGGAAACAGAGCCCAGGAAGGCTAAAGTGGTGTCACCTGGTAGTCAAGAGCAGGGACTTCAAAAACCAGACAGATAAGAGTTTTGGCTCTGTCTTTGTGGCCCTGGACAAGTCACTTCACCTATCTGGTTCTCACTTTACTCTCCTATTAAATGGACTGATGTGAGGTTTAGATAAGCTCAAGTGTATGAAGCTGTAACCTATAGTTTTTTGCATGTAATTATCATTCAACAAATGTTAATTGCTATTATTATTAAGGATAATCTGCAGAAGAGACCCTCAATTTCTATCACCATGTCTAACTCAATAATTCTACTCCTGGGAATACTAAGGAAATGCCATAATGACAATAAAAAAGAGGTATGTGCCAAGAGGGTCACTGTAGCATTCACAACAGCAAAATCTGGAGGAAACGGAAAGGTCCTTCAATGAGGAAAACAAATTATAGTGCATTAAAATTCAATGAAATAAATAGCAGCTTTTAGAAATAATAAAGAGGACAGACACTACAGGACATCATGGAAAATACAGTAAAAATTAAATTTTAAAGTAGCAAACAATGGTGATGGCTACAAAAAAATACATATACACAAGCACACAGATGAAGAAGAGATGGGGAAATGAAAATATATTTGTTCTGGAATTCTAGTAGTGTGTGTAAATTTCTGCTTTAAAAATTTAGTATTTTAGCAAGAAGAAAATGTTAACATTAATGTCTGATTTGAATGTGCAAATTTTTTAACTGGTAATTCTACTAAGAATTTATCCTAGTAAAAAAACCATGAACTTGCTTAAAAATTTGGAAGTTCATCAGAGTACTTTTAAGATGGAAAAAATAAAAGGAAAAAGCTAAACGTCCAACTAAGGATTATATTAATTATGCTAAATCCACGCAACTGAACACTAAACAGCCTTCAAATAAAATGTTATTGATGTGTAAAATCTCAAGAATATTGTTGAAAGTGCCCCCCTCTCTGAGAAAGGGCAGGAATCTTTGCCACACTCACTGATACATCAACAGTGCCTAGAATAATGCCCAGCATACAGAAAGCACTTAATATAGAATGAATGTAATTTTAAAAGTTACAGGAGTCAAGTACTGTAAAAAACTGTTATGTATACACACACATCTATATGTATCTATACATGCACATACCTATAACATACATGCACATAGATGTATAAAATTTGTGTGCATATATGGTTATGAAAAACAGAAAAGGCAATTGACCAAAATTTGGTTTCCAGTGATTATCTCTGAATGGTGTGATTTAGTGACTTTATCCCCTCTTTTCTTTTCGGTATTTTACAATTTTTCCTTTACTTTTAAGGGAGAGAAAGTAAAGGGCCAAGATGGAAACTTCTTAAACTATGGGCTCATTTCTAGAGGCTTCTCCTAGAATGCGCCTCACCCCTCTGTTCTCCGGCTCAGGCCTCTGTCCTTGAGGACGGGGAGGGGTCTTCTCTCTGAAAAAGAAACATTGTAAAATTAAGTCTATTGTCTATAGCAGCTTACTACAATGATGGACAGTGATTGCAATGGGGTTGGGGGGGACTTGATAATATGGCTGAATGTTGAAACCACAATGTTGCTCATACGAAACCTTCATAAGACTGTATATCAATGATACCTTAATTTAAAAAAAATTAAGTCTATTGACAAAATGTTTTGAGCTGTTCCCAAAATGGAATAGGGAACTCTTCACCAACAGGGTCAGGGCTATGGTGCCCAGGCATGAAGTTGCACCAAATTAAATCAAATCCTAACTCTTCAATCTACTTGCAGTTGTTTTTCCCAACTGTATAGAATACCAGGGAGAAAATCAGCCTATTGTAAGATGCTCATCAGATTGCACTACAGCCTGCTTGTCTCACAGAGAGCCTGGCCCAGACTGGTTATGAACTCCAGCCAGACACCTTCCCGGACCAGTGTGATGTCAGGGTCACAGATGTTACAAATCCCATATCCAAACTGAGAATGGCACGTCAGCAGAGAAGGCTGAGATTCAGGGTCTCTCTGAGCTGCCCCCATTAACTTCAGCTTTACCTCCCAATACTCTTGGACAAGTACTCTATTCTTTTTGCCTCTGGGTCTTAGTCCCTTCCATCACTCATCCCACAAATACTGGACTGAGGGCCTGTTACCCATCAGGCACTAGGTAGGATGCTACCAATACTAAGACAGATGACAGACCCTACTCTGGAGCTGTTCATGGTTTAAATGGGGCTACAACCAATCATAGTGCAGTGCGAGAAGGGACTTCTTTAAGAGAGGTATCAACATGTGGGGTGGGAACACAGATGAGAACGACTAATTAAGGGAAGAAGGGCCACTTCAAAGAGGCGGTAACCTTAGGGCTGCTCATTAAAGATGGGTAGAAGTTAGAGGAGTGGTAGGAGGTTGAGCAGGACTGAGAAAGGCAGAAAAGGCAGAGGGAAAATAAGTACAAAGGCTCATGAGAGTGAAAGGGTAAGATCCTTTAAGGAAGTTCAGCCTGTTTGGTTACAGGGAATGCTGGGGTGAGCGGGAAATGGTAAGAGATGCTGCCGGGAGTGTTTGTGGTGTGGTGTGGTATGTGTATGCTCCAGACCATGAAGGGCTCTCAGAGCTTGTGTTTATAGAAAAGACCAACCCATACATCTATCTCTAGGAATCTCAAACTCCACAGAGCTTCCCAGACCCCTGTTCTCTTCTCCCCCGCACATTACACATCACCACTGCAGTGCCTCCCCTCCCTGTAGATTCTGCTGGATACCTGGCTTCCCAGGCTGCTCCTCCACAGCAGTTTGCACATTTGCAACTGTGGTATCTCCTGTGCTGTCCAGCACTGCCTGCCTGCTGGCACATGTTCAGTGGGTATCCGTATTACAGCCCAGCAAGTGGCAACTTGGCCCACCCCCCCCCTCCTGGGTAACTCCCATCTGGATCCCAACTGCCTCAAAATTGCACTAAGGGTGGGGTAAGGGGCGTGCTGAATTCAAGTTAATTCATATGGGGTGGGGTGGGGCGGGGCGGGGAGTGTGTGTGTGAAAGGTGCCCCGAGGGCTCACCTGGGGTCCTGCTGGCCAGTACTGCCCCTGCCATAGAGTGGAATGACCTTGTCTCGGCTGATGCCAGCTTTGCAAACTGGACACACCTGTCTGTTAGGTCTGGTCTCCAACCACTGCAAGCAGGACAGAAAAACGCATGAATGGTGAGGTGCAAGCCCACCACAGAGCAGTCAGTCAGAGCAAGCGGGACAGCACAGAGCAGAGACCTCACACTGGAAACAGAAGCACGAGCAGAGAACACCTCAAGGAACGCAACTCTGGTCCTGCTCCTGGCACTCAATAAATATTTACTAGTGGTGAAATCAAAACTGCCTTTAAATACCATCATAATTAAAGAGGCTGCTTCGTGCTTTGTTGTCTCCAGGGGCTTCCAGTAACATAGCAGGAAGGAAGTACAAGCCCAGAGCTGGGTCACAGGGTCTCTGACAGAACCGGCCTCAGTTTAGGCTGTGGTTCGGGTGTAACGGACTCTAAATCCCTACCTTCCCTGACACATCAATTGTATTACCCTGGCAGTCAAATTTTTCTTTCTGTGACTTCTCATTTTTACAGCATTTCCTCAACAGCTTTGTATCCCAGACATCAGCATTTGGGCATAAGCTGACCATTTTCTGGTGATTTACTATGTGCTAAAGGATATATTTCTTTCATTATCTAAACTTGCTTAGTGTTTTTCATGTACTTTCATTGATTTTTGCATACAACATTTCTTTCAAAGTTAAAAACACAAGAATCCTGTTTTGGGTTTCCAGGCCCATTTACTTAAATTAAAAATATTCTGTTTAACTTTCTATATACCCAATAATGTTACTGGTAGTATCTTTGTAGACATTAAATAATATATATATATATATATATTTTCTCAACATTTACAAAAAAATTGCATCTTTAGACCCAATGATATGAAGTTTATTATATAAATGTGAATCTAGGGCCAAGAAGGCAGCATTTAATGATTTTATATCCTATTTTATCTTACTGTCAAAAGCTCCAAAACTTGTGTTACGTATTCTTTATGAATTTATTGCAGACCTGTTGCTACAGTAGACATGTTGCTACCAGGTCACACGGGGGTCAGAATGCATGGCCCCCTCTTGCATCCCCTACTTCTTTGTCCCATCCAGCTTCTGAGGCTCCGGCAGTTTGGAACTTCCGTCCTTCCTCACATTCCTCAGCCATCTACTAGTGTAGGGCTCTACTGCCAACAACCAGGGAGAGAGCTCATAGTGATTATTCACAGCCAGTTGTGAATGCCAGACCCTGCTCTGTCTCACCAAGCAGGCGCCTGTCTTGGGTCTTGGTGAATACTTACTGCTTTTCACAATAATCTAAAGCTGGGAAAACAGACTTTTCCCCCTTTCACAAAAGCTCTGTTGAAACCAAAAATGTTGCCCCCTTCCTAATGTTTTCAAGACCTTTAAGGCTAAAGGGAGGGGAGTTGATATGACAGGAGGTACTCTTTAGAGAGGCACAATCTCAAACATAAAAATCTATTATCAAATCCAACCCAATTTAGAAATGAGGAATCGAGACCCAGAGAGCCGTTGGCTTGTCAAGGCCACAAGGCTATGCGTTGGAGTCAGGACCATCTCAGTACCACACTGACCTCTTTTTTCATCAAGGACCTGTCGGTGGGTAGGTATAAAAAGTGGGTTGGGGGGAAAGCAAGCAAATGAGCCCACAAGGAGGGGAGATTGCAGCTTCTGACAGGAGTCTCCTGAGACTAGGGCTGTCTTGTGCAACCACAGCTGATGAAAGACAAAGTAAAATGAAATGCATCTTACCTGATGTAAACACGGCCAACTGCCAGAGTCCCCAGGGCAACCAGTCATCCACAAGAAAGAGAAAGAGGGAAAGGAAGAAAAATGCTTTCATTAGCAGAAACACTGATGGGTGAGGTGGGTGCAGCAAACCGAGTGAACAGGATCAAACTGTGGGGCACAGCAGCCCCACAAAGGGTCTGTGGGGATCCCTGGTGTCAGAAATTAGGTAAGACTGGGCTAAAATTACAAGAAAAACAAGGCAATGGAGACAAGACCCCAGTCTCCACCCTGGGGATCCCACTACTTGTGAAGACCCCCAGGTCCCAGGCCATCCCAGCCCCAGCCCCTCCACAAGTCCACCTTTGAGGAATGAGGCCTCTGAAGGAATCCAATTAAGCTAGGGCCCCTCACGGGGCACTCTCGTGCACACATGAGCGTGCACGCATGCATTTTAGACTCAGTTCCAGTGGGTTCATAGCCTCTTCATACTCACAGGGAATGTGTGGCTCTAGATCTAGTTTAATGAAATCTTTGGGCTGTCCTCACCCTTGAAAGTTCTGCTGGCAAGAACTCACTTAAAAAAGCTCAAGTCTACTGTAAAAACATCTTTAAGTAATGGAAAGTATAGGGATGCTGCTTAGCAGAAAGCACTACCTTCAGCTTAGTGAGTTACACTACAATGGTTGCTGCCCACTCTTTCATTTTTCAAACGAGGAAACCATACTCAGAAACATGAGATGACTTGCCTACAGCACCAGGACTAAAAAGTCTCCTCATATCCAGTTTATCGTTCCATCTGTCACCCAGCACTGGGTACAAAAAAATGACATTTACAGAATTGAAGGAAAAGTTATTTTAACTCCAGATTTTTTACTTTTCTTTCTCTCTTGATTCATTCGTTCAACTAACAAATATCCATGGCATACCTACTATGTGCCAGGACAGTGGAAAATGTGTAAAATGAACATGGTTTCTGTCCCTCACATAACATGTCTCCTGTAGCTGAGTAAAATTTGCACTTAAAAGGATAATTCCTTTTCCAATTCTTGAACCACAGTTTAGCCTCACAATCCAGACACACAATCTCCCTGGACATAACGGACACCTGATATCTGACTCTAATATTAACCTTGCAATGCCATTCCAAACTGAGCCAACGACACCCCATCATGGCAGATCTCCATGGGCAACTTCCCTCAAAGGCTGTGGGGGAGATGTGGAGGTGACTTTCCCTCAAGAGAAAGTTCAGAATTATAACGAAGATGGTAATTATTCCCATTTATTAAGCAACTACTGTGTGCCAGGCTGTGGCTGAATAGCTTTTCATTTGTTAATGTCACATTAACTTATAAGCAAGTTCAATTATCTCCCTTTTACAGATGAGGATACTGAGGCATAGAGAAGCTAGATTTGCCCAGGGACAAGCCACTATGTCTGCAAGCGCTTGTTTCATTTTAAAGTTTGTGTTCCTTCCAATGGAACCCTGACTTAATTCTTAATTTTGTCACTCATTTAAAGTCCTGGTTTCATAGTACCTCGGAGTACCTTTAATTTTTAGGAGAGGGCTGATGACAACAGTTTCTGCATAAAACTTAATGATCAGGACAAAGGCTTCCAGAACAAAACTCTATGTTCCATTCTACTAATTCATCAATAGATGTATATTTTTCACTGTTACCAACTCAAACTCCTAGAAATATCGCTTCAATGATCCTTCCTTCATACCACTTCCTTGCTCAAAAGTACTCAGCAGCTCTATGTCCTACTCAGTCAAATCTCGGGTTGACAATCTGTCTCAACCCTCCCTCAACCATTCTTGTTTCCTAACAATCCCCAGCCCCCCAGGAGGCTATTTGAGGTACACAGTAACCTCAGGGTCTCAGATGAACCCAATAATGCATATGCCTGTTCCCAGAAACTGCCTACATTGGGGTGGCACATCCTTTTCACCTTACTTGGCATTCTCATCCTTTTAGTTACCCAATTCATCCTTCAAGGCCCAGCTCAAAATCAAGAGAAAAAAATATAAAATGTCGAAATTCACCCAGAATCTCAAAACAAGGAGGGGCTTTGCAAATACAGAGGCTGGAATGGACCCTGACTCTGCCACTTCACTTTGATGTTCATAAAATAGTTGAAATAATTATTAGATCATAGCTCACACACAGTATTTACTGTATGCTATGTGTCCTTCTAAGCTCTTTACATATTTTGAGTCATTTAATGATCATCAACAATCCTATAAAATGAGTCAGTGTGTGTGCAAGCCCCTTGCCCAAGGTCATCCAGTAGGGAAGTGGCAGAGTCGGGATTTGCAACAAGGCAGTATGGCTCCAGAGCCCTCGCTCATAGTAACTGTACCATATTGCCTCCTGCCTCGGACAGCAAGTGGCACATAGTAACTACGCACTATATGGGTGAGTGTTAGTACTTTATAGGTGGGGACAGAGCCCAGAGAGGGGACAGGATGTGCCCAAGGTCACGAGCTCATCAACAGCATAGCTAGGATGAGAACCCAAGTCTCCTACCTCTTGGGCCTGAGTGCATCAGGACCCAAAGTGGGTGGGAAACTTTCTGCTCCACAGCTGACCAGAGCCACAGGCTCTCTTATCTGGCAGTGTGTTGTTTGGGGTGGTGGCAGGGGTACTGACCAGAAAAGGTGGCCGCACAGGCTGATGACGGCATCCTTGGCTGTGTCCAGGCAAATGTTGCACTCGAAGGTGCTGTCCTGTCCTCCACTCTCACCTGCGCCATTGCTGCTGCCGCTGGGCCCCCCTGCGCAGGAGTTCTCAGGGGATGCAGAGGCTGAGGGCCCCTTGCTCGCCATCCTCGGCTGTCAGCAAACTCTGAGTCAAGATTCTCCCCCAGGAAAATCCTAAAAGGCAAAGAGTCCTTGATTGCCTATTTCTGTAGTCCAGCCTCCATGCCAATGCACCCACCTTATCTCAGCTCCAAAGTTCAGTTTGTGAACGAACCCCTGAGCAGACACTGCAGAGGATGACAGTCACAAGCACAACCCAGACAGCAATGCGTCAGAAGCTCTCATGAACGTGGCCCAGAATGTGCCACACAAATACACAAAGCCCTCCAGATGGCCCTCCAGAGGAACTAGGACCCCATCTCACTTGTCTTGACGTTCTCCCAGGATAATAACCACTCCAGGTGATAAATACATGTTCAATCAAATTGTACATTCACAGGCCATCTTCTAACTCTGGACTGCCTCTACACTAGTAGGTGAATCTGCTCAGGTCAGAAAGTTTGACTGGTATATACCAGAATATAAAGAAAATCCCATAAGAAGAACCAGAAAGGTCAACTGGTCCAGTATCTTCCACACTGCAATCTTTTACATTCCCACTTCTGCAAGGTTCAAATACCATCTACCTTATTTGTCTAAATCAATATTTTAGCTTCAATACACTTAAAGAGGAGGCTTATGTCACTGCTGTAAGTTGGAAACCAGTATTAGTTTACCATTAAGTGAAAGATAAATATAAATATAATGACAGAAATGCTGTTTATCCTGATACCACCTGAAATCATCTGGTTCACTCATACAGTGCTTTGGGCAAACCCGATCTGGTCCAGTCTCTTTGGGAAACCGTAGCTTGACTAACTGCTAGTCTGCTAACTAACTAATGTGGAGCTGAGACTTGGACTCATGACACCCAGTTTGTTTTCAAACCACTGTATGGCCACAGACCAAGCTGGCCACCAGATGCTGGGAGACACACTGTTCACACCACCTCCAAACAAAGAACTTACCAAAAGTTGATAAGGAGGACAAGACCAACACCAAGGACACTCAGAAATTCTGGGTGCAGATTAAGAATCTGTCAAGAGCCTGATATGCCCACCCTCACCATCTCATGAATTCCAAGAAAGAAATGCTGGCTGGCTGGCTACTGTAGTCAGAGAATGAGAAGCTTGGGTGCTGCTTCAGGCAAGCCTCCAGCTTTCCAGGTGGCTTTGGGAACCTCCCTTCTCCTCCCTGGGACACAGTGTTCTCATCTGTAAACTGAGGCACTGGACCACCTGATCTCCCCAGTTGTCCTCTTCCAGCTCTTAAGACTGTGTCACTCCAGGTCATCTCACCCATTCTTTCCAAAGCAGGAGGCCCCACCGTAAGTCTGGGACTCACCACTGGAGCACCAGAAGACAACCCTGATTTCAGCTTCCGAAGTATGAGGAGATAAGGACCAAAAAGCCAGTTTTCTCAGACTAAGAATCCTTCCTACACACCGATCACTGGGGATTCTGGACTCATGCACATCCCACACTACAACAGCAGCTCAGCGCCTCAAGCAGGGAGAGGAAGCCAGCTCACTGACACTTTTTCACTCAGTTACATCATTTTACATAATGTCCCAGAAGGGCAGCTGGCTGCTGGCAGCACCAGTGCCCTGCTGGCCTCAGCTCCAAGACTTTCCCCCTGACCTAGTGCCGCCTCCTCTCCACACGTCTAGCCTCTTCCTTAGGATCGATCCAGCTTCTGAGGACTACGTTACGGCCTTTCCTCATCATTCTAGCTCAAGTATTTGACATGTGTGTTTCTTTACTGTGTGTACAGATGTGGAAAGCATCCATTAAGTCAAGTTCACCGATCAATCTCAATGACAATATCCTGGTATGATGCAATGGGAAGTATGCATCACCAACAATGAAGCACTCTTAAAACACCGAGTCTAATCAATTCTCCAAAATGAATTACCTGTTTACAGAAATATGGGGCACAGATGCATATGTTAAGCTACTCCAGGAAGATGCAATTGACTAATACAGAATGGGGAACATTTTGTAAGGCAAATATCCCAAGGTCACCAAAAAAATAGCACAGGTGGGGACACAGTTATAGATTGAAACTTTGAGACACACCGACCACCGGCAGGGTGCGGATTTTACTGATGACAGATTCAAACCAACTGTAAAAAGACATTTGTGAGATGACTGACAAAAATTAGATTTAGACTGGATACCAGCTGATATTAAGAATTATTATTAGTTTTTCTCAGTATAACAGCATCATGTAATGTCTTTAAATTTTTTCCATCAGCTAGAAATATGCACTAAGTATGTATATAAAGGAATAATAAGATGTTTGGGATTTGTTCAAAAAAACTCCAAGGGGAAAAGAGAAAGTGGAGAGAAGAGATGAAATAACAGGGAAGCTGATGGTTAGAGCTGGATGATGAATGGGGGTTCACTGCACTAGTTTATTTTTGTGTGTACTTCTGAATTTTCATAATAAAAGGTATTTTTTTTAAAGGTCAGGCTGCAGTAGAGTATGTATATGAGCTTATTTGGTTAAAAGTAAATAAAGTATATAAACGAGTGTGTATATTTATATTTTTATCCTGTTTTAATGTTTTATGACAAGCAGGTATTACTTTTACAATTAAATTTTAAAAGAAGGAAATTGTAAAATGTATGTATAATGTAATACTGGTTATAACAATAATGAATATAAATATTAGAAAATGTCTTAAAAATGTGGCGGAAGATACCCAACTGTTCATAGTGATTATCTCTCTATTGGTAGGGGCTTAGAGGTAACTGTGACTTACACTAAGTTCTCCCCATTTATAAAACTGGCATTTTCACATGTATTAATTTTGAAATCAGATAAAAGAGTGACAGAACATTTTTTTAAAAATCTCTCCAATGTCCAATTTTCCCTAATCCTGAAAGGTACTGAGTTCAAGTCCTGCCTCTACAACTGAAGAACCATGTGTTTTCTGGATAACTACCTTGGTGGTTTAAATCTCTTTTCTCATGAAAAGTGAGGGTTTCATGCCTTCTATAGGGCTTCTAAGGTGGTCCTATGAGGTATCAGTGACCTGGAGGGGCCACCAAGTTGGAGGAGGCTGGTGCTGCTGGGGCACATACACACCACTCACTCTGGACACAACAAGGCCCCGCATGGCACATACACTCTTGCACAAAGGCATAAGAGGACAGTCAGGGTCAAGGTAGGTGTCAAGTAGGAGTGATCAGAGGGCAGTAACAAGTCAGTTTAGAGTCCGCAGGGAGTAGCAGCCTTGCAGGAGGCCAGTCATTGGGACAGGCCTGCATGTCCCAGGCAACTCTAGGCAGGCCACATCACTCTCATGCTAATTCTTAGTAGACTGATCACGTGGTCCCTGTGGGCTCTAGCACCTCATACTGATAGGCACTCAAATACCTGCTGAGTGAGTGGGTGCAAGCATGCGTGACTGGTTTTGGTCAACTCCCAGGCCAACTGCTCCCAAATCTCTTTGCAACATATCCTGGGCCCCAGAGCTGCACACCCATCCCTGGGGCCTTCTCTCTTCACCTCCTCCCTACTGTCATGCATAGGAACCTCACCACACCAGAGCAGCACAGCAGAGGTAAAGCACCCTCCCGTGGAGTCTGTCTACTGAGCACCTGCAGAGAGCAACTGAATGTGGCCATAACCTCACGGACCAAGCAGGAGTGGAACAGAGGCTCAGAGGACAGAGGGCCCTGGTTGGCTCAGGAACTGGACAGACTAAAAGGGAAGTAGGCTCTGAGCACGCCTGAACTGCCATCCTACTAAAATTCCCTCCTGGTCCCTTTAGGGTGTATGGACTTGGACCTAGTGATAAAGCAACCTAGCTGTGGCTGGTTCTGTGCCCCTGACTCTATCCTGACCATTCTTTCCTCCTGATCTGAATCCACATTCTAGTTTTCAAAGCACATTCACAACTATTCCCACTTCTGACCTCACTACATTTTACAGATGAGGCCATCAAGTCAGGGAGGTTAGAGGATTTTCCCAAGGCCAGGCCATCCTACAGGGCCAAATTCAGACTTTCCAACACAACACCAGCACTCATTTCACTCTTACATGTTGCCCCTTTAACATGCAGCTTTACAAAATTAAATACCTGGTCTTTGTTTTCCCTCAAACTCATCGTGCAATGCTTTAACTTTTGTGTTCTTTGACATGAGGGCACAGCAAAGTCACTACTCATCCATGTATGCACTCAACCAACAGACCTCCAATGCCAACTACAACTGCGGCCTGGGGGAACCAACTGGAGCTGGGGTGGTGGGGGGAGGTCACAAAGAAGAGCAAGGCCGATTTGAGGCTCTGAGTCTATAAGGAGAGCAAGGGAAGACACATGACTGATTATAAGAATTCTTAACAAGGGTTTCCATCAAACTTGTTTCTTTTCCTAAACAAGAAACTCCCCCAGGGATCTGGTTCCTAGACTCCCTCAGTGATTTAAATGAGATTCAGACCTGGATAGGACCCAAGAACCTGAATTTTTAAATAAGTGACTCCAACTTCCACTCCAGATGATTCTGTGATGAAGAGTTTTGGAAACCCAGTTCACAAACAGGGGACAACTCCACCAAAACACAGAGCAATACAGCACAGCAGAGTTGGGAGGGACAGTAACCCCAGGACCTGTCCTTCAGAATACACAACTCCCAGCTACAGTCCACAGGGACTACGAAGAGGTCGGATAAACTTGGGGCGGGGGGTTGGAGGAGAAGTCTGCTGAAATCTCCCAGCACCTGGCCCATCCGACAGACCTGCCCATGTAAGAAACATGGGTAGTTCCAAAAAACATTCTTAAATTTGAGATGAACATGGAGGCACATGTGGTGCTAGGCCTAAGGCAGATTTGCAATGCGTAAGGACCCCTTAGGAACACAGAGCCTGGAAGACGAAGTAGACTGACCAGCATCCTCATTCCCGTTACCTTACAGAGCTGGCCTGGCCCACCTCACAGGAACCAAGCAGGGGAGAGGAGGCAAGACTTACCTGTCCCTGCAGGGACCACCAGGGAACGATTTCACAAAGGAATTTCTTCCTAGTATTCTTATGTTCAGTTCCCAGGTTCTAGAGAACTGCAGATATTT